CATTTTGAGTTGTGCCCCATCAGCAAATGAAGGTCCTGTGCACTTTATTCTCACAGATTTTACTCCATTCCTGTCATCGTGGTCAACTCTACTTTGAGGAGGCAGCTCTTCCCCAGTCGCATTTTGAGTACCTCCCAACCCGAGGGGCTCATTTTCCGGCACTGTATCTGACAGTGTTTCTCTGCTATTCATAAGGTTTTCAGTGACTAAATATTCGGAAGTAGTTCGTTACTCCTTCTTCTTAGTCTGTCGTCGTCTGGAAGCTCATCTGAAACCTGTCCACCATGGGTGACCCTGCTGGTATTTAAAATACAGGTGGTATAGCTTCCAGAATCACAGCAACTCACAAGCCCCCACAGTACCACAAACTGAAAGACAACAGACTGACAGACGACAGACTGACAGACGAGTGGTAGGAGGTGTGACAGCGAAGGCTCTGTGTCCACTAAGCCTGGTCCTCATGAGACCTCGACAGTCTCCATGCTGAGACCTAATGTGATGTGATCACTTCCCCAGGACGTGGTCTGACGTGACTATCCTGTGTGTTGGAAATCCTCACCTCTAGGACATTAACGAGAATTCAATCTATAGGATTAGCTTCTGTCTTGAGTCCATCTCATTTGAGATGTAGAGAGAGATGATGAAACAGGTGAACAGAGCTCAGAGGGACCCGCGACCACCAGAAAGACGAGCTGGGGTCCCTGTACTGTGAACCTCCCAGATCCAGGCAAAGACTGATGCCAAGATGCATGGGGATCGCTAAGGAATGTGGGGCCCACAAATGCAGACAGGAGACAGCTGGAGCTCTGAAGTCAGACTTGCAGCCTCCCAAACTGTGAGAGATTCAACCTGTGTTTGCTAAAGGCCTTCACGTGTGGTATTTCCGTTGCAGCAGCTCCAGAGAATGAAGATTCAGGGCACGTGGGAAGAACCACCTGCCCCTCCTCTAAGTCAGTAGTCGCCCACACAGATGAGTCCCAGGACCACCCGGCCCCTCTGAGTTTGGGTCTGGACTCTGCCTCTCAGGGGCCCCCTCCCGGCTGGCCTATGCTTGTGTGAGACCGCTTGTTCCCCCAAGGAATTGAGGCTCCTTTGCATAACACCACCTGGTGCTGTGTAGACAAGCCCCAGCCGGCTCCATGCTCTGGTCCAGGCTGGCTGTTTCCTCACCACCTTGGCTGGGGGCCTGGAAGAGCCAGGACCCCTCAAATTTGTACCCATTAGTGTTGTCCAATAAACAGCTGTTTAGCCCCTTGGAGCCTGCCTGCCTCTCAGACACCAGGGAACTGGGCCTGGCGCCTGCTGGCCCTGGGACACAGGGACACTGTCTAAAGGCACACAAGTCTCACTGTCCACTCCTCTCCTGGAGTTTCCTGTCCACTCCAGCAACCCCCGGGCCCTGGAGACAGCAGACCTTCTGCTGTGGGGCCCCCTGCAAGCTGCAAGGAGTCACCCCAATAAATAGCTTGTGTAAACTGCTGCCATCTGGTGGCCCTGAATTCTGCACAACTCATTCCACCACCTTTGCTCCTCCCTCCTCCAACGAGCCCTGGGTCACCCAGACCACACCCTCCTCCTCCAGGGAGCCCTCCAGGCTGGCGCTGCCCACCCTGCAGGGGGCACAAGGTCCCTCAGCATGTGTGTGGGGGTGTCCTGCTCTGTGGTGCCCATCACCTGTCTACGTCCCTCACTGGCCTGCTTTTTCCTGGGGTGGGGGGGGTCTTAAACCCTCTGCAGTGGAGTTGATTCTGGCTCCTCGTGACCCTCCGGGACAGAGGGAAGCTGCCCACAGGGTTTCCTATGCTATGATGGTTACAGAAGCCAACTGTCTCATCGCTCTCCCACAGAGCAGCAGATGGGTTCAAACCCTTCGGTTAGCAGCTCAGCGTTTAACCCATGGTACCACCAGGGCTCCTGGGCTCCTGATTCAGAGTGGGGAGGGGAGGCAGGACCCCTTGGGGGGCTGGCACTGCGCCCACAAGGGCCTGGATCAGCCTGAGAGGGAGACCCAGGTCTGGCCCTGCATGGTCTCGCAGGGCTACAAGAAGGCTCAGACCTTCTCTCAAACCCTCAGGGAAGAGGGGAGAGGGCACCAGGGTGGGAAAGGCGGCCTGCCCCCTTAGTACAGAGCAGGTGAGCAGGGGCCGCTCCCACAGCTCAGGTTCAGGGAAGTTTGTTCTGACTTTCCCAATGTGCAACTATGCCAGCCGAGCAGGGGACCCACTCAGAACATCCGGCATGCTGACACAGACAGGTCTGGGCACAAAAAGCCCTCCACTCCCCACCCGGGGTGGCTGTGCCCCTAGCAAGTGTGGGAAGGTCTGGGCTGCCCCTTCCAAGTTCCACTGAGAGCAATGCTTCCCTCACTCTCTAGATCATCTCCATCCCCTAAACACCACTCCAGAAACAGCAGGGTGACCGGGACCCTGGCCCTCCAGGGTTGGGAGGGGCACACAGTGACAGGCCGTCTCCAGGCAGAGCCCACAATGCCAAGTCCCCACACTTCCCTCCTCCTTGGAGCTCCCCCAGGCACTGTTCCATCCCCCCAGGAGCACCCCACCACCACCATTTACGTGGCCTCTAATTTCAAAGTCATTGTCCCGCTGACTCGGGACTCCAAACCAAACCATCTCTACATAAATCATTGCTAAACTGGAAAAGCCAGTAACTTATGAAGCCAGTGGGAAAGTAAGGCCAAATTTGGAGGGTCAGAGAAAAAGAGGAAGACCCCCAATGAGATGGATTGGTCAGGTGGCAGCATCAATGGACTCAAGTGTGGCAACAGTAGTGAGGTTGGCCCAGGATCGGAAATTGTTTCATTCTGCTGTGCATAAGGTCGCTATGAGTCGGTGCCGACTCAATGGCACCTAACAACAACAACAACAACAACCAGGGTTGGAAGTCCTGGTGTGACACTGTGGGTTAATGCGCCAGACTGCAAAGCCATTTGAACTGCAAGGTCAGTGGTTCAAGCTCACCAGCTACTCCTTGGACACCCTATACAGGGTTACTATGGGTCAGAACCAACTCGATGGCACTTCACAACACTACCACCAGGATTGGGTTTGTGCTTAAAAACCTGCTCTCCGAGTAGGGGAAGGTAGAATCCCCACTGAATAGTCTTCATCTCATCTATACGGGTCAGGTGAAAGGAGATGGGGATGAGTTTTATGATTCAATAGTGAGTAATTATTATCATAACTAATTGCAATTGTCACAACTGTAATGGTTGAAGATGTATAACAAAAAGGGGGAGTAGTTAATCTTACATCCCAGAAACAGAGGACCCTAGGCCCATCAAGAGGGAAGAGCATGAGCGGAACTTGGGACCCTAACCAGAGAAGCAGTGACACCAGAGATGGAGGCAGAGATGAGGACATGGAGAGAGAGAGCAGCTGAGGACTCTAGATTCACAGAGAGAAAAAAGGCTGTGTGCTGGCAGCCAGGAGGCAGGCTTGTAGAATGTGTCCTTTGGTGATTTAAATTATTATATACACCTGAGTGTTTAAAAAAGAAAAGAGCTAAAATGAATAGAGAGAAATACTATTAATTGATGGTACATGGAGGGGGTTATAACTACAGTAACAAAAGAAGGCTTATGATTTGTTGAATGTAAAACTGATGATCTGCCCTGCAAACTTCCAGTCAATTCACAATAAAAACTTCAAAAAAAAAATTCAAATGAAAATAAAATAAACAGGGGGATTGTGATCATCTGCAAGGTCAATGGTTCAAGCTCACCAGCTGTTCCTTGGAAACCCTAAACAGGGTCACTATAGGTCGGGATCAACTCAATGGCCCTTAACAATCATTACAATGAAACAAGATGCAAATGGTTGAGTGCAAAACTGATGCTCTCTCATGTAAACTATCACTCAAGTCACAAAAAAAGCTTAAGGAAAAACCTACTCTGATTCACAAGGCCATGGCGCCCTCTGCTGGGCAGTGCCCTCTTGCCCAGTAGGTATACAAGTGGACAGGCGATTGTTGGGATCAGGACAAGGGCAGCCTCTGGGAGGAGGACCGGGCTTCGCCACCTGGCTCACACATGCTCAGTCCACCCCAGCACCAGCGCCCACAGTCTGGGGACCCCACCAAGACCCCCAGCCACGCCCTCCACTACCCTGTCCTGGGCTGACAGTTCAGCATGCGGACCTCTCGGGAGATGCAGGCCCCAGGCTGGTTGGAGGCAGTCTCCGATGAGAGCACATCCCTGTGCTGGGGAGAAGCACCTCGTTTCACCTTTCTCACCGAGTCCCAGGAGTCCCTGGTGGGGAGAGCACCTAAGAGTTTGGCTGTTGACAGGAGGCACCTCAGAACAAAGGCCTGGCAAGCTACTGCTAAAATATCAGCCGTGGAAACTCATCTGGTGCAATTCTACTCTGACACACACGGGGGCGCCAAGAATCTGAGTCCACACCACAATAACAGCCATTCAAAGGAGCTCCGGTAGCATAGCGATTACAAAGCACGCTGCTATTCTCAGGGTCAGCAGTTCGAAACTACCAGCTGTTCCGCAAGAGAAAGAGGAAGCTTTCTGCTCCCGTAAAGGTTTACAGGGTCACTATGAGTCTGAACCAACACATAACAACAACAACAACGAAGGTGGGGGAACCTGGGCGTCAGAAATGGATAAGCACTCGGTTTCCAATCGAAAGGTTGCTAATTCAAACCCACCCGGGGTACCTCGTGAGAAAGATTTGGTGGTCTACTTCTGAAAACTCAGGCACTGAATCCCTACGGAGCACAGTTGTACTCTGACACACTAGGGGACGTCACAGGTCAGGGTTGATCCACACCGCCTCAGGTGCACAGGTGAGGCGCCTGTCCCCAGCGCGTCTACTCCAGCGCTTCTGAGGTCTGCAGGTTGAGGGATGGCGGGAGGAGGTGGTCCAGAAACGGATGCGCCATCCCAGGGGCCACCCACAGCCAGAGCCGGGGTGTCACTCACCCATTATCCAACCCGTTCTGCCCGAGCTTCCTGCCGATGTCGCCAACCATGACCCCGGGCATGGAGAGCAGGGTCTTGGGGTCCCGGATCTGTAGTAAGCCACAGAAAGGTACACTGTTGTTACAGTCACGCAAAAAACCCCAGAATGGTATGTCCCACTGGCCCTGGCGTTGCTGGGGCCTCCCGTGAGGAGCTGCAGGGGAGACCAAACCCTAGGCCGTCAGTGGCTCTGGACTCACAGTGACCCCTAGCAATCCCCACGAAATGGCATGTCCACTCCCTAACCCCCGGCCCATGGTCTTTACAGCTGTGATGAAGTTAAAGATCACCAGGTGAGGGGGACACCCTACACAGGGGGACAGAAACCAGGAGCTGTGGTCCTTTAAAGAATGGGAATGGTGTGAATACAGACCCTGTGAGCTCGGGGCCAGGCTCCCAAAGACAGGGTGAGGTTCGCTGAGAGAGCACGAGGGTCTACCACAAGCGCCCACCTTAGGACCCCAGAGCCC